AGAGGCAGCCATACATACGATAGACTTCAAATAAAATTTTGCGCAATTAACTTCGACAATAAATTCTTTCACAAAATTTTACAGTCATATCACAGAGATCAATACACCATTTATGAGGACAGTCTTGGTATTCTTAATGTTAGTGAATAATTTTCTACAGAAAATTTATTTCTAAAATTAGGAAGGCAGTAAATAAGCGAAAACCTACGCGTGGTCCTGCAGGTCCAGATAAACCTTTTTCTCCCTTCATTCCAGGAAGACCTGGCTGCCCAGGTACACCAGCATTACCTGGATATCCTCGTGGCCCTGGCTCTCCAGGTTCACCCTAAAACGCGAAAATTTAGTTTTATTTCAACAGCGATAAAAATCTGAAGCTTTCAAGCTTAAATCGATAGACTAGAAAGCTGTTAGAATGCTGCACAATATAGCAAACAATATTTACCGAAAAACAATGCAAAATATAAGGTTTGAATCCATGCGTGTCGACATTCAGCCCCAGGCAGTACAGCGAAGTTTTATACCTGATGAGGGATCGGTGCACGACAAGCTAGGCCCCGGCAGTACAGCCTAACCTTTTTGTTCTTCCAGGCCAGCTTACTAACTCTAGTAGCCAGACGAATCCAAGAATGGTCGCCTCTCAGGTGATAAATGAAAATCAGGGAAAAATTTGTTAGCAAGAAGCCATATTTCTATAACTGTCATGCAAATTTGAATAAACGATAGCTAAATTGCTAGAAATTTTTGCATATTCTGTTTTGCCTGATATGTTTAACTATCAACCTCTCAAAATTTTGCTCGGAAACTGTGGCATCACAGAATGAAAGCATCAGTTTTGGAAATTTTTTGATATCAAGATGTCCCAATATCAATTTTTTCAGCCTCACTAAAATCGAGTCATGATAAGTCTAAGACTTAATGCGCTTATGTGCAAAAGCACATTTCGTAAAATATCCAGAAAAGTAATTTTTTTAGTCAGGATTTGACTGATCCGTCAAAAAAAAGTTTTTTTTTCTGATTTATGAAATCTGCTTTTTTTCTGCAGGTAAAGCAAAAAGCATGCATACGGACTAATATAATTACGACTGGCTCTATTACTAAAACTTGGGATCTCACAATAACTGCCCGGGCAGTCTTAGTATTCATGGTGAAGCAAAAAGGCGAAAAGAACTACGTGAGAGGAAGCTTGTAGATGGCCAGCGAAATCTATGGGATCAGTATTTGTTAGCTGCTAGTTAGGGAAGCTAGCAGAGAGCATCAGCAAAGTAGGAAGTCTGAAATGACAGAGCTAACGAGCAAGCACGAAATAACGAAAACACTTTTGTTCATGCCAAAAGCACAGCCGATTCATCCAGAATTTTTGCGCCAAAAGAACTGTTTCATTGACAGTTGTTCGCGTTTCACAAAAACATGTTTCCAGTTTTTGAAAAAAGAAGTAATTTAGTGCAAAAAATTCGATCGGCTGGTTTGTGAGACAACTATGCCAGCTAGCTAGCTTCGAATCTACGGTCCTACAATATTGCAAACCTTCTCTCCCTTCATTCCTGGGGCACCCTCCGGACCAATGATTGTACCTTTGGCACCAGTCGATGGCACAGGACCTGGTGGACCCGGAGGACCGCGAGGTCCTTGATCGCCCTAAAATTAAAACAATGTGCAAATGAAGTAAAATGCAGTAAACGCACCTTCATACCTTTTTCTCCAGGCACGCCACGTGGCCCTACGATGGAACCAGAACCAGTGAATTCCCGCGGCCCAGGCGGACCTGGCGGTCCTGGCTGGCCAAGATCTCCCTAAAGGTAAGCCTCTTCCTGTTTTCATGTAAAATAAACTTCATAAAAAGCAAAGCGTACATTAAAAAATCTTTTTTTATACCTTTATTCACATTACAGTGTTCAAAAGTTCAAAAAATTTCGCCATAATTTCCATTTCGAAGAGATTATAACATTCAAAAGCTCACGAAAATCCGGCCAGCACTTTATCTGGAAAAGCTAAAAAACTGAAAAGCAAACATACAGGATCTCCTTTGGGCCCAATACTTCCAATTCCTGGATTTCCCGGAGCGCCAATTTCACCTGGTGGTCCTCGTGGCCCCTAAATTAATGCACAACTATTTACATTTTGAATACATGTAATCCAAAAGTGCATTGCTTTGAAGCACTGCAGTACATCTGAGAGGGCATTTACCCGTTTCTAGGTTTTCCTAATGCACACTTATGCACACCTGTTTGAGCAATATCGATATTTGCAAAGCCTTTTTTTTATATTTTTAATAACTTCCTTTACTACTATATTGACTAAAAAAGCTATAAATGCAGTAAACGTGAAAAATGTTTACGAAATCATGTTGGAAAAGAAAAGCCGCCTGATGAAAGGATCAAGGAATGTTAAAAGCTGGCCTATCCTGTAATATTCCCGCTCGCAGTTTTTTGGCTCCTTTTATGTCACTAGCACTTTCGGCCCAGGATACAGTAATTTTATTTCGTTCATGCACTCTTCACCTGTCTCTCCGTTTATCGGAGCAATCCTGTCGCTGCCTTTGTTTCAGAATATCTACGTAAAATAATAAAAGCAAGCCAAGATCAACAAGTAGAGTGCCGCATCTGAAGAACTTACAGGTGGACCGACGTCGCCACGATCGCCTTTCTCGCCTGGGAAGCCGTCTCGTCCTGGTGGACCTGGTAATCCTGGCATACCCGCCATACCTGAGTCACCCTTAAGAAAAGACACTGCTGAGTAAAAGATGCAAATGAGCAAGCTAAAAGCAAACGCATGACTGTGTAATTTCCTTTATTTCTGCATCATTTAATAAAAAGAAATGGAAATTAAAAATGATACTTTTTCGCCCGGGGCTCCGGCATATCCAATAGCTGGTTCACCTTTCGGTCCTGGAGTACCTGGAATACCTGGGAAACCAGGCATGCCAGGAGGTCCAGGCATTCCAGAGATACCGGGAGCTCCATCTGTTCCGTTGCAGCCATCCCAACCGGGCGCACCTGGAGGACCCGGTTCTCCTGGTCGACCATTCGCGCCGTCATTTCCCGGAAAGCCAGGAACACCAATCAAACCCTGGAAAACATATCTGTTTAGCCTAAACTTCGACCAATATTTTTTTGTAAATTCTTGAAAGAGTGTTCAAAAATTTCAAAATCACTAACCCGATCGCCTTTCATTCCTTGTGGCCCTGGTGGACCTTGCGCTCCTTTTTGACCTTTCGGTCCAGGCAAACCTTCGGGACCTGGAAATCCTCGTATACCCTGTGCACCGGGAGGACCCTGAGGGCCTGGCATACCCTGCAAAGAAATATATGAAAATGCTTTGTGTACGCAATAAAACGAAAAAAAAAAATTGTTGAAAAAAAAAAACGAAAATGAAATATTTGCAGGTACTAGAGAAAAGCAGGAATCAGCTTACCATACTTCCCTTCTCGCCGACGCAGAAGCAACCTCTGTTCGTACAATCCCGACATGTCGTTTGCTGAAATATTCGAAATCGTGAGGCTGACAATTTCGGTGATTTCACAAAACCTTCAAAAAATATTCAAAATGACCACTGAATTTTAGTTTGGGCATGATACGCTAGCTCTCAAAACATGATGTACACTTTTCGATGCAAAACCACTCAGAAATAACGAATTTTAGGAAAAATGAGATCAACCAGAGGATAGAAAAAGTAGCGTAACTGTCTTGGAGAAACACTCATAATATTACGGACAAAACAATGTCCAAGCGTAACATTTGTAAATCTGTTAGAAGCCCCGCTCGTGGTCCGACTATCCAATGTGCATTAGTACTTTTGGAACACAATTATATGAATGCGAGAAGCGAAAAATCGAGGAGAACAGAAGTAGCATTCGATGCATCGATGATGCGAAGACGGGCAACGCTCAACAACTGACCAATCAATCAAAAAAGTTATTTTGGTAGGATAAAATCATTAAAAAGGGAACAGAATCTTCTGCATTTGCTGCCTTTCCCCTTCCAGCACTTTATAGGTATCACTTCAATACAGTAAAATTAATGAACTGATAAAATGCGCGAATATCAAACTCAGGCTGGAATGCACTAGGCGTGTCGGTGCGATCATGCGTTTTGCACCGGAGTTGAAGCACTTAGATCGTTAAACGCACGAATGGTTGTTGCTTTTTACCTATCT